CATTTGTAAGCATGATTAATATAACAAGTACACGTTAGGTTGCGAAACGTTGAAACTATTTCATATGATTGAAAAGTGTGTGTGTGTGCTGAATAAATAACTGCATATAATTAACATAATTATGTCTACCGAAACAATTAATGCATCTTGTATTGAATACATAAAGTATTTTTGATTATATTTCTCATGTTTTAGATGCAGAAAATAATCCTGACAACTTTAGAAACGTTATCTTTCAGTAGCGAAGAGCTGAGGCATCGTATTATTCAGGTATTGAACTTATAAAAAATATATATAATTCACTATGCTGTTAAGAATATTTTTATTTACTTATAAAAACACTAAATTTCATTTTTCTGTAAATAAAAGCGCTACTTTTTATGTTCTCTTATCTCTAATTTCCAACAGCAGAGAATAACATTGTATTTATTGAATATAGTGTGATGTCATTTTCTGAACAGGATTATAGCTGTACAGTAAGTAGCTACTTATACAACAAAACTATTAAATTAGTAACATTAATAACTCCAAAATTATTTGAGTGGTTATTTCATTACAGATATTTTGATAAATAAATAAACAGTTGGGTACTGGAAGCAAGGAAGGAAAAGTAATTCAACCAAATTATCTTCCATACAGGAAGAACAGGGAGCTGGCAGACCGATTCTATCCTTACTAAAACCAGGATGTGAGCAGAACGACCAAATACTCCTAAATGCTGTTAATTTAGTTGGTAATCTTGCTATAAGTGCTTCGGATCAAGTAAGAAATTGAATTTTCTGAGTTGAAATGTAAGGTTCAATGTTTTGGGGACGTTTTATGTTTTGTTCGTTTTACTTCTGTTGTATATATATATTTGTTCACAGGCGTGAAATGCTGCTGTGCTGAGAAACTAATGTACAGTTAACTTAGACCGTGGTGACCTCTTCTTCTAAAAGAATGTCGAGTTCACGTGATAACAGAATTAAAGAAAAATTATTAACCTATTCCTTACTTTTGCTTGGATGTGTTTCAAAGTTAGCAGTATCAAACAAATAAGGATTACTTTCACATTACAAAAATTAACAAAAGTTAAAATAATGTTTATGGACCAAAAGAGAACAGTTAGCCCTCCAATAACTTTAGTTGCCTAGTTTAATCTCAAATTGTTAGATAATTTACCGTAGACACAAAATAGAATTTCTAAGGCATTTAGTGTAACTAAAAAAATATAAAAAATGTTGAGAGGAAGAATGAAATAAATATTTAGACAAGTTTATTTCGAGATTGCTCTATTTCTCGCCAGACTCTTTACATAAGATTTATCCTCGTTCATTCTGATAAAGGGCGTCCAACTTCCTTCTCTTGTTGCTATAGATAACCTTTCAGGTTAGTGTCTCCTGTTTCTGATCCTTTTCCATTAGCCCAACGGCTGGGAAGAGGCGGAATTCTATATTTCACCCCTGACGTTGATCTAGACACTGGGGAAGAAAAGAAAAAAAATAAATTCGCAAAAAAGCAGTCTCATTTATTGATCTTTTCTGGCATCCAGGCAGATTGTAGCGCAAATAGAAGTAGAAAGTGAGGAATAGAAAACGATATCAGACCCACACGAGAATCTCCACATTCCGTTACTAACTGTCGTGGTGTCAGGAGCATGTATTTTATATTAGTTACTGTAGACAGGTGTTATAAGACCAGTCCTTTATCTTCTGGTCGAAAAAAGTTCATGGAATAATGCTCTGAAGGCCATGTACTACAAGCTGGTTTTATAAATAAAATGTGTCCATGATATACCATCCTGATGTAATTTTAACTTACATTTAACCTTATGTACGTGTGTGTGTGTGTGTGTGTGTGTGTAACAACATCTAAACACTTTGGAATAACCACATATTCGTATTTTTAAGTGTGATAGGCATTAGTGAAAGTTTAAGGTCATTATATTTGATAAATGATTATGTGCTTTAATCATTTTTATAGTTTGGATATGTTGCTAAAGCAATGTGAAAAAACGTAGGTAATACATAAGGTCATAATAAACGTATACATAGACGTCGCTCTCTTTTTTAGTTTTATAGCTAAAACAATTAATTAAATACATTTTTCGTTGGTTTTGGTACATATTATAATACTGAAAGCTAGTTTAATATTCGAGTAATCTAACATCATACTTATTTAGTTAAGTTCTTGAACTATCACATACAGAATGTGTTTTTTTGTATATTTCATTTCTACATATTCCAGTAAGTTTTACAGAATATACAAGAATAACGTATATCGTCATGTTTTCAAGTGGAGCTTATTGCAGCGATCTGTCACACGTTCTCTTGTCTACAAACTTAGCTGTCAACGAAGACCCTGGTTTATTGAAATATTATCATTTCAACGTATCCTAAATTTCATTTGATTGTCTCGTTTCTGTTCCAGAGCATATTATTGAATTTTGACATGCACTAGTATATCTTGGGCAGGAATCTTTAGGACATATAAACAGATGATATTATTCAAATAACCGTCCACTTTCGACAGTCATTTACCTATGCTGCATTTACAACCGCTGGTTATTGCGTCATAAATATTCATTGCTCTGGTGTCTAGATATTAAAGAAATTTAAAATAACAATAGAAGGTATTTCATTTCACCATATATTCAAGGAAAATTTGTGGATGTTTTAGTTCTTGGCTTATATATATATATATATATATATATACTACTTATTTTAGTTTAGTAGTAGAAGAAACAAATAGAAGAAGAAGACTACTAGAAGTACGTTAAGGAACGACCCAGAGACTAAAGTTTTAGGTACGGGG